TTAATTAGTTGATAATGAATTTTATAATTATGTATTACAATAAAACGCTGTTTTTATAAGTATGACTTTATAAAATATTATTGGGGAGAGAAATAAAGATACAGATACTTACATTTAGGTACACTGTTATCAAATTAAATCAAACAATTTAAATAAATAAAAGAATGGTGCTTACCTAAGTATAAATAACTATATAAAGATATTCTTGGGTTTATGGTTTCTTTTTTACTCGTATGTTAGACAAACTATCATCTAAAAAATGTAAAAATTTTAAATTGGAGAGGGGTTTCTCTACATGATAAAGTTAGCAATGAAGGTATTTGCATTAGAATCAGAGTAACTGACATAGCTCAACGGAATATTACAGTGAAATGGCAATAGGCTAGCTATATAACTTGGAAAACATATAAAAAATAGGAAGAATAGTACTCAACTTTTATTCCTCTTCACGTATTCTCATACACTTTTCTTCACACATACACACACACACACACACACACGCACATGCGCGCAAGCACGCACGCACGCACACACGCACACACACACACACACACACACACACACACACACACACACACACACAAATAGGTCGCAAATAATACTTACCTAGTACTATTAGGCAAGAGTGAATAGGTTTTTGTTAAGTCAGTGCAATTCACCATCTTAAACTACATAACCACTTACCAATGGGATTGTAGTTGCTTTACTACTTACTGGGTAAAAATAGTAAAAAAAAAATTTACCCTGTGAAAGTTTGCATTTAGATATAATTTTTCTAACCAACCATAAAAATATGATGAGAATATATATATAAGTATAAAGGTTACCTCACACGGAACAGTAATAATATAATATTATATCTTCCATTATCTCTGAAATCCGAGGTATGTTCATATTAAGAGGCTGAATAGAGCCACATTGAAATGCATGGGGATCGTTTTGTAATTTCACGTCATTATCGAAAAAAAATTGTACGTATTTTAGGTGGCGGTTTGTAAAACACGATTCCACAAAAATTAACTCAATAGAAAATAATTGCAAAGTTGCTTCTAAAAATACTTAAATTTTCAACGTCAATTTTTTTTTACGTGGTAGATCCATGCTACAGCTATATTTATTAGGTATAGTTGTAGCACGAATGGGTCGGCTCGACCGGGGAAGGGCCACGCTCTCACGGAATAACATGTAAAATAGCAGTTTAACCCTGCTGTGTTTCGTATGGTGAGTGTAGAGAACCGGAGAACCTTTTTACTGGAAACGAGGCATTACATCTTAGTCCTCACGGGTGACAACGCATCTACATTTTGATACGTAATCGAGAATAGATGTAGATGTGTATGGGCCGTAGCAACCACTTACCATCAGGTGGACTGTGTGCTCGTTTGTCACCCTTATTCTATTTAAAAAAAAACTTTCTGAGATCTCAGTAAAATAATGTTAAGTATTGTAAGCACCCGTACAATTATGTCTCTTGTTAATAAAGCTATTGGGCTATTTTGATTTGTAATAAAGTGATTTTACTTTATAGGTTAAATAATTTATTTAACTTTCTATATCAAGAACCGTTTTTCTGTCACTCCTATTGAATTTGACAGTGCTTGCTGAAATTTAGCATCTATAGATGGATCAGAATCGCCCGCTGATCCGGCTGTTAGATATTGCAAAAATAATCGAAAATATTTATTTTTACTTTCATGCCCAAGACTACCTTGTTTTATTTTATTACGGTCAAATAATATTTATTAGGTTATAAAGCAAGTATTTTTGTAAATGTTTTGTATGTAAATGTAAATCTTTTCATTATTTTGTTATTCTATTGTTTACAGTTATTATCACGTCTTAGCTTTACACCAAGAATTACATTAGAAATTCTTGGTGGGATGCGATGTAACGCGCATACATTATTTTCATCAAGAACTATAATATATATTTTTATATATATTTGTTTTTTTTTACCAGTAGAGTTTCAACAAAATCTTAAAAAAGTTCAATGAATTAAAAAAAATGCTAATAATTATATAATTTCAAGTCAGTGTTTTACATTTAAAGATCAGTTATAAAGAGCCAATGTTATTATTTTCATTTTGATTAATTTAATTCGAGACTAAAATAAATGTGAAAGGGCTTTTATCTGCAATAATAATTTCCATCAAAAATAACATAGATTTATAAAAGTCATATACACGGTCAATCATACTGAAGATTATCAATTGTACTACAAAATATTTAAAAGACTATTTCCAGTATAATGACATATCATCATTAATGTTTGACTGGCACACTTAAAAGTTTTATCATATGGCTAAATGATTGACTTTTATATTATGATAAGGTCATGCTTTTCTATAAAAAGTTGCAAGAAATTTTAATTCCCGGCCCTATTGGTTTGTTTTACTTTTTACTTAATTAGTGAAAAACAAAATGGACTGATCTAAAAGTTTACTTTCTTGTGTAAAAAGTGCTATTTAGAATTTTTGCAAATGATAATTAAAGTTTCTATGTAAATAAGTGTAACATAGCGGGTATTATATTCAATGGTAGCGGCCATCCGTATTGGCAAAGCCAGCATCAGTTTCTGTACAGAAACCGGCAAAGTGTTGCTCAAGGCATTATAAACAAAGCAGCTGATAAAATGTTACACTCATAACTGTTAACAAAAACTGTTTTCGCAAATGGTCTTATAGATAATAATAACTATTCCGCCGTGTTAGGTGCAGGAGCTATTATTAGAAGGAGAAGAGGTAAAATTTTGTTTTAGAAATGCGCAATCAATATTGTTTTGTCTGCAATTGAGCATAAAATAAAAAATAACTTCAGCCAAAGAGCATAACTGGCATTATACTCAGGCCCATCAATTGGTATGGAAAAAAATAATTTTACCAGGTCTCAAAAAATCAATCAAAATTCAAAAAACATAAATATTAAAATCAAAATATATATATATGTATGTCTATACATACATATAATGATTTATGGCCGCTTAGTAACTGACGGTGACTCACTATAACATCCTACAGTCACGCCGAAACTAAGAGGAGAGAATCACTGTAGAAAAGGTAATAATTTATTGCGGAAATTTTGTGATAAAATTAAAAAAAATATAAACTTATCCATGTTAATCTAACTTAGTCTAACTTATCCTTATGCGTACAAAAAAACAAATAATAAAATAGTGAGATGGCGTCAGTTTTTAAGAAGATAATAACAAAAATAAACAAAAAAATAAATTTCAATAAAGTTCAGTATTTAATTGATTATATACTGCTGACACTTAATCACGCTTCTCGAAACCACGCCAGTTGTAAACAATACTTGTGTGAAAAGACAAAATTTCTTTTCAAATTTCTGCCGAGTTGTAAGTAGAAGGCCAAATAGGTCACGTCTCAATTTTAATTAAATATATTTTATATCTCGTGATCTTGACTACGTTTCATCAATTAACCATTGGTAAAAATTAAAACAGGAATTTTACGATTGTGTTTACAAAAAACATTATTTGTTGAACCTTGCAGCTTGTCATTATTTTTATTATAAATACCTATAAATGTTTATATTATTAATAAATAGTTCCCATAATATATTGGATTATTTTTTATTTTGCCCTATCTGCAATGTTCTACGCTCTATAGAAAATGTGGCGTATGACATGACTGACAATCTTTCGAACGTTTTATCTAGGTACAAAGATGTTTTAAGTTTTCGTCGCCTCCACATGATATTTTTGTCAGCATAAGGTACCCTTCTATATCTGAAACGAATATAAATATTGTTACAAAGTAAAGTAATAGGCTATACAAGTCCGTCTACTGGGCACAGGACTCTTTTTTTATTTCTGAGAGGGTTTTAGGGCAAGGAAATGCCCGCCGTGCTTCCCCAATGCGTGTTGACGAAAATTGCAATTACAAATTTCATTCGTGCTGTCGGGGATCAAACCCGGGAAAATTTACAGCGAACGCTTTGACAACCAAATTTTTTTAATACGACACAAATAAATACGATTTAACATAATTATATAATAAAAATTTTTACGTACTTGAAACTTGAACACTTGATAGCTCGTGATGCCTACCGGACAAAGCTACAGCCCCACACCGTGCAATGTAATTGAAGATGCGTAACCGCGACATAATTCTCAGTGATGCGCAAGCATAACAGGCAGTATGTCACTTATATAATTGTCATCTCTCCAGTCTATTAATCTTTGCACTTTTATAAGTTATACAGAACGTAGTTGCTAGACGGTGTTGACATCGGCTAAAATCTCTGCGATCGCCGTTTCGTCAAGGTCATTCAGGCTAGTTAAAGCCTTAATCTATTTAAATTTAAAGAAAAAATTCTACACCTAAGGGTGGGAAATTAGAGGATACCGTTTTAATTGTAAATATATAGACAACATTTTAGTTCTAATTTTTTAGGAATAATAATAATTTTTTTCGATAAAATGTAAAATAATATAATAATTTCCTTATAACTGATTCTAAAGTCCTAAACCTTTAAGTCGTTCCACTATATTAATAAACTTTTGGCCGTGGAAGGAAAGCGGAGATCGTCGTTGTTCTTTTTGTTATTGTATTACATCGTCATTATCATGAGATTTTGAGTTTTTTTTTTTGAGATTTTGAGACAGTAAAGTTATAGCTATATAAAAATTCCATTTTAGAAATTAATAATAAAGAAATTAATAAGTAAGACAAAGTCCAAAAAGCAATCGCGAATACGCACATGGCTCCAACTCAATCGAAAAGGTTATTATGTTATCAAAACAGATTTTCTTGTTGCCGCAAATCTAATATCGAAATATTATTTTTTCCCTTTGTAAGAAAAATACGTCAATGAGTTAGTGAAGGTAAATTTTTATATATTACATTTAATTTATTATATTAAATAATTTATTAATGTGCGTGTGTGAGTCAGTGTGTAAATGTTAATAAATAAGGTTGATATGATCGGGTAAATACATGTGTATAAATTTTGTGTCATTAAAATTTATTGTGGATTATTCAAAAGTTGGAGATTTGTTGGAATAAACCAGAACTTGAGTTCGGTTTTGTTAAGGAAAATACGACTCGACTCGACTCAATAAGAGAACGAGAACTTTTTTCATTTTTTTTTATTGGGAAGCCAACATGATATTGTACAAAGAAAAATGCTTAAATTTTTTATTGATTAATCTATTGTTTAGTACACATCATAGTTAAAAGGTAACTTAACATGTTACTATAAAGTTATATGTAACGCATATTAATGTTGAAAAGCGAAGAAAGGATAACAAAATAACCAATTTTAATGCATGAAACAAAAAAATCTTTTTTTTTGCAACAATAACACATGAAGTGATCTTAATTTTGTTAGAAAAATAAAAGGTTCTGAAATATAAATTGTTGTGTCTATAGCGTTTAAGTAATTTAACTTTACTGTTACAAGGAAACCATTATTATCACTTAATTGGCTCTGAGCCAAAAACCTTCCTCAAGAGTCTCTTTTGACAAAATAATTTTATGCTAAAAAGCCCATATTCTTTTTAATGTAGCCAGTGGTTATTATTTTTAAAAGATAAATTTGGATTTTACCGTCGTTATAGAGTAATGAATCATTCTTATAGCGTGTAGTGGACGTTAAAAGGGTCAAGTTTGATAGATGACACCCTAAAATATCATTTATAGCAAAAACGTGTCTTTAGAAGTACATTGATAAAAAAAAAAATCTTAACCTATAGGCGAACGCAAATGTCTAAGAAAAGTCATTATTGTGAAAGAATATGCCCATCAAAAAAGTCACTTGATGTATAGAAGCTCCCGTACTTTATGCAACTTCCTTTCATAGATAAAGAACACTTCCTCCACATACATTTTAGGCGCCTGGTTTGGTCACTTCATACATGAGAAATGTGTTTCTTTTTGTATATTACGCGATGTCATCGTCAATGTGAACCGACTTTAATAATTCTTTAATATATATTAAGAGAAAACATCCATTCCCCAATAGCAGCAAGACCGGTGATTAAGTGTTAATGTAACTATTTGGACAAAATAAAAATTGTGATATTCTTTACTTTATTCAAAGGGATAGAAATAATTAAATTAAAAGCTGAAAGTACAACGGGCTAATTTTGAAATCAGGACATCTAACAATACATAATAATATATTTTCACATTCTGAAGGCGGTGATAAAATATAATCTGTAGAAAAATGTGAGCATCAACTTAAGAATGTGAAATTATTTTATTCTTTTTAGTTGTTAAAAGTACGCTTTTACTTTTTGTAAAGTATTTTTTTAAATGATTGATAGGTATATGTAACTTAATTTCTTATTAATTTTTACTCGCAGAATGACTAAGGCAGAATTTATTGCGCACGGCAGCTAAAATGAACTTTATATATATAGGGGTTTCTCGATCTAGCCTAAATTCTACGCTCATACGCTCACGTATTTTCTTTTATTTTTTAACCCTCATTCCAAACAAGATTATTATTTTCATTATTAAACCTTCTTTTATTTAAAACATAATAATAATAAATCATATTGCTGAAACACATATTCCATTTTTGCCCATGTTATACTAAATGATATGGAAACTCCCTACGCTAAGGCTGACATAAAAATGCCTACATAACACTGATAAGAACAACTACGGTAGACTGAAAATACAGAGTAGGTCAATATATTTTTTAGAACAAGAGTGTTACATGTATGAATGTAAACATGTTATCATAATATCCATGTTTCTCTAACATGTTTTCAGTAGAAACCCATTAACTGAACAAACGAGCCGTGATATTAGAGCGCGCCTTAAGATAGTGTATTGCAGAGCTAATAGTAACATGTTAGTTCCAGCTATGCACTTCCTAATTTATTCATCCAATAATTTTATTATACTTTTTTTTTAAAGTTAAATTTTGCTTAAACATATTATTATCACCATCATTAACGTTCACTACTAGTCTAGTTATGAATTTAGGTGTAGATCCAAAGACTGCCTTGAATCGTGGTTAAAAATATGTATGAGTATGAGACTGTTACTTAGAATGTTTTTTCCTCATCGCTTGTACATTACAACAAAATGTATATAAAATATATAAATATAATATTACAACGAAATCCCAGAAAATATACAAGTTTTCTCTATTACAAAAATTTTATATTTTAGTAAACAAAAACTGTATACTAAGCATTATTATAATATAAATGAATACATGGTTGATAATATCCCCTTGGAATGAGATGGTCGCCTCCACGTTATTTCTCAAATAAGTTTTGTAAGTGGTTTGTACAACCTGTCTTATTTTATAATTTAGTTGTGTTTTTGTGAAAGAAAAGTCCCCATGGGTTTTTTGCTGGTTCTTCCCAGGACAGAGGTTTTTTTTCCGAACAAGTAATAAAAGCAAAAATGAAACTATTGGTAAATACAATTGTGCATGCCTTAAGCGCATTAAAAATAACGTATAACAAGATTATGCTTAATATTATTAAGTAGTAAATACACACAAGTTTTCACTAATAACCTTCTAACTATACTTCCAATTTTCTGATATATTTATGTCAAACTTCAACTTAAAAAAGTTTGGAAAATCCAAAAGTGCACGACTCACAATGCCCAATGATAGTGAAAAAATTAAAAAATAATAATTGTAAATTGTAGTCCTATTCGTGAATGAGTTCCACTAGCAGTCAACGAAGTACACCTTGAAGTCAGTCCGTCAAGTCCGGAGGTATGGTATATTCTATATATCTATTATATTCTATTACTAACAAAACGAGGCTAAAGAATAGAATAGAATAATTTTTTCAATATAGATCACATGTGTAATTCTTATTGAAAGTAATTTTTTACTTTTTTACTTTACCACTGGTTCGAAAAGAAACCTCTGTCCTTTGAAGAACCAGCAAAAAACCCAGGGGGTTTTTTTTAAAGCAAATTTTACATTAATGGTTGTTAAAACTATATAAATACAAAATTTATTTTAGAAACAGGTTGGAAGCGATCACCTCATTCCCAGGGGTTATTGTCAATCATGTATTCGTTTATACTATAATAACCCTTTTTTACATTGCCCCAAAAATGAATTACTGATTCTGTGGAGTCGAGAAACTGGTATCACTAGCTTGTGTTTGTTCCTAGTGTTTACAGAATGTATATCACTTTTTTTACTAAAACTACCTTTGTTTTTGTGAACATACATTAAATTTTCGTAAATATAATGAGAGGCCAAAGTTAATATTTATTTCTTTAAATTTATTTCTAAGAGACTCTCGGTTTTAGGTTGTAAATAGCTCTAATGGCCCTCTTCTGTAAAACAAAAATAGTTTCTGAATCAGCCGCATTTCCCCATAGCAAAATCCCATAAGACATTATGCTATGGAAATAACTGAAATAAACTAATCTTACTGTCTCGAAACTAGTGAGATCTCTAATCTTTTTTACAGCATAGGCTGCCGAACTTAGTCTGCTTGCTAGTTTGGATATATGGCCCCGCTGAAGCTTTGCGTCGAGAGTGATACCAAGAAAAACAGTGGATTCAACAGGGCTCAGTTCTTCCCCATTTAAAAACACATTGATACTCAGATTTTTTACATTAAACGTTAAATTTTTGTAAATATACTGGGAGACCAAAGTTTAATGTGTTTAATTATTTTGATTTTCTCTGAAAGTTTCTCTTTGATGGTACTCAGATTTTTAACATTCGTTGTTGTAAATTTAATACATTTAATTTTATTTCCGTTTGAATGTAGATTATTAACGTTAAACCAATGCACTAATTTTGATATAGCATTATTCACTTCGTCACATTTAAATAATTGACGTTTAAGTTTAAAAATCAAGGAAGTATCATCAGCAAATAATACTATATCATGCTTATCCTCTACAAGAGAAGGTATGCTATTAATATGCACTAGAAATAGGAATGGACCGAGAATCGAGCCTTGAGGGACACCCATTAGTACAGGTGAGCCGGAAGAACTTTTACCATTGATAATAACTTTCTGAACTCGGCACGTCTAGTTCTCCTCGTTGAGGAATTCCAGTAGCAGTCACCAAAGTACACTTTCAAGTCACTCCGTCAAGGCCGGAGGTAAGGTCTAATCATAACTTACAAAACGAAGCCTAACTCAGCACATCTAGTTCTCCTCGTCGAGGAGTTCCAGTAGCAGTAAGTAAAGTACACTTTCAAGTCACTATCATGTCCGTAGGTAAAGTTTAATCATAACTAACAAAATGAGTCCAAACTCGGCACATCTAGTTCTCCTCGTTGAGGAATTCCAATACCAGTCACCAAAGTACACTTTCAAGTCACTCCGTCTAGGCCGGAGGTAAGTTCTATTCATAACTAACAAAACGAAGCCAAACTCAGCACATCTAGCTCCACTCGTCGAGTAGTTCCAGTAGAAGTCATAAAAGTACACTTTCAAGTCACTCTATCAAGTCAGAAGGTAAGGTCTAATCATAACTAACAAACCGAAGCCAAATTTAGCACATCTAGTTCTCCTCATCGAGGAGTTCCAGTAACAGTCATCAAAGTACACTTTCAAGTCACTCTATCAAGTCCGGAGGTAAGGTCTCATCATAACTAACAAAATGAAGCCTAACTCAGCACATCTAGTTCTCCTCGTCGAGGAGTTCCAGTAGCAGTCATCAAAGTACACTTTCAAGTCACTGTCATTTATATGTATAATATGATTGCTAGATACGATTTCATGCGACAAAACGTTGGAATTTTGATTTTTAGTCCCTAGTAGAACATACCTAGGCACTTAGCGCTTAAGACATGCAATAATGACTTCCAATAGCAATTATCTGTAAACTATATAGAACAAAAATTATTCTATTGTAAACATGTTCCCCACACTAGTTATGAATACGTACTCTAGATAATCTCCTGTACCGTGGTGGCGTTGTACATTTATAAAATGGACATAAGGTAACACCCAGACCCGGAAAAATTATTATCGTTTACTTGCTAAGAATCGCTTTTTATATATAGCCCATGGTATACAAATTAGATGGCAATAGAAATTAAGTGTTAACAAAAACTTAAGGCGCAGGTTGAGCAAAATGTCGCGCTAGTCGTTATTTGTGCGGTTTTTAGGAGCTATC